ACACACACACACACACACACACACACACACACACACAAGTACACACACACACACGGTATGGTTTAATTCCTTCAACGTACAGGAGGATCGTCTGTCATACTTACTGATCGCTGGGCCTAAGAATTCCGCAGCATACTCTGTAAACCTGTTGTGACTTAGATTTAGCTCACGCAGATATTTGTTATTCTGTGAAGGAAGGAAAATAAGCAAATGTACATTATTTAGCAACATTCCAAAGACATAACGACAGAACATGACGAAATAAAAAAATACTACCGTGCCAAGGAAAGAAAAAAGGCTTCGCTAGTCAAGGCAATGCAATACTTTATTAGAATTAAAATAATACATTTTTGTTACAGATGATGATGATGATGATGATGATGATGATGATGATGATGATGATGATGATGATGATGATGATGATGATGATGATGATGATGTGTGTATGCGTCTGTGTATATGTGTGTGTAAGTGTGTATATATGTAGGTGTGCATGTGTGTGCAAGTGTGTGTTCATTTGTATGTGTGTATTTGTGTGCCTCTCCGTCTGGTGTACCCAGAGGGCTCAACAAAGAAAGCAACAAAATTAAAATAAAACGAAGGCCAAGGGCTGTAAACAAAATAAGATTTAGACACAAGCAAAATCTCAAACGATAAGGAAGGAAGGAAGGGATAATGTGGCGACAAGCAGAGACACAAAAATAACGAGACATATTAAATTAAATAGCTTCTGTTGCTTACTTCTAGAGACAGCGAAAAGGCCTCGGCACACTTGTCGTCCAGTTCATTACCTGAGCACGGAGTAAGATACAAATAGAGAGATAATTGTAATCGTCAATGATGAGAATTAGGGACAAGGAGGTTGATGACAAGTTCAAAAAAGGGAATTATTCAGGAATTCATAGCTGGGTGATTTGTCTCTACATTTTCTTGACTACAAGCACTATCGTCGTCGCTGTCGTCAACTTTATCACCATCATCGACATCATCATCATCATCATCAACAACATCATCATCATCATTATCATCATCATCATCATCATCATCATCATCATCATCATCATCATCATCATCATCATCATCATCATCATCATCATAGTCATCATCAGCCTCATCATCATCATCATCATCATCATCATCATCATCATCATCATCATGGTCGTGGTTGTTGTCAACATTATCATTACCACTACTTATCATGAGTTTCTGTTTTTCATTATCGTCATTATTGTCAAAAAGGAATGACAAGAGACCAGTAGGCAGCAGCACCATAGAGCACTACCAACAACAGAACAAGACGACGTTATCTTTGCAAACGAATGAGAACAAAAGAGAACCCACTAAAAATTGACAACAGCGACAAAAGAAAAAAAACACAACTTGACATGGAGATAAACCACACACACAAAAAAAAGAAAAACTTACCAGACACATCCAGTTTCCGCAAGCCGCCGTTGACTGAAATCATCTTGGCTAGATGGAGCCCTCCTTCAGTGCCGATTTTATTGTCTGCCAGCGTCTGAGGAGTAAATCATGAAAATAACAAAACAATAATATCATAACAAGAGCTTTGTTGGGGGGGTGTGACAATAGCGAAAATTACATCGTATCTTCAAGTGCTACGGTCTGGAAGATCGTGGTTCAAACTTAACTTGGATTTTTTAACTTCAGTTACTTAGCAGAAATTTCAAGGCTCCCCTCCCTCTTTGCTATGTCCTATCTGAAAAGGACACTTTGTTCGGCGGTCCCGTAATTATTCACAGCTGTACTCTACTCTATATATTCACTGCTGTACTCTACTCTATATATTCACTGCTGTACTCTACTCTATATATTCACTGCTGTATCGCCATTATGAAGAGATCAGATCACACGGTTTAGTACCACCACCTTTCGCATGAATAAGACAGTGAGGTTTTTGTAGGAACTATAGTTACGAGCCGAAGATAGATAGATAGATAGATAATCTCATAAGAGACGTGCATGGATAGACAGACAGACAGACAGACAGACATACTACATCATCAAAAAGCTCACCAGTTCTGTGAGGTAGTCGTTCTCCTCCAGGAGTCGGCCCATAAACCTTGCCCCGTCTGGACCGATCCAGTTTCCTGAGATGTCCAGTTTTTCTAATGTGATACTGTCCTGAGGGGTAAAAGTGGAGGCTCGGTGATTAATATGATGACGGAAAACAATACAATACAATACAATACAATACAAAGCAGTACAGTGCAGTACAGTACGATACAATAAGTCTATACAATACAATGCAATGCAATAAAACTAATATGATCGTACATAACAAAATGTAACATAATCCCAAGTGAAATAACTAAGAGCAAATAAGTACACGTGCAGACACAAACGACGTGCATTCTCTCTCTCTCTCTCTCTCTCTCTCTCTATCTTTCTCTCTCTCTCTCTATCTATCTATCTATCTATCTCTCTTTCTTAAAACACACACACACACACACACACACACACACACACACACACACACACACACACACACACACCTTCAAGGACAGAGCAATGGCGCGGGTAGCATCGGCACCCAGCCCCCTGTAGCGCATGCGGATGTTGTTGTTCCGGATGTGACGTAGGAAGTATTCGACTGGCACCAACCCCAGCTGCTCACACACTGTCTGATAGTAGTTCTTTAGAACGTCCGGCTCCTCTTCTTCTGCACACGTCCAGTGAGGAAGTGAGTGAATGAGTGGGTGAATGAGTGAGTGAGTGAGTGAGTGACAGAAAGAGAGAGAGAGAGAGAGGGGGGGGGGCATTCTGAATGATGACACTGTGTTCATGGTGTGCAGTCAAGATTGTCAAAGACGTCCACTCAGAGAAAAGTGATTGTCTTAGAAAAGTGGATGTTTCGGGGATTATCATTAAAATAAAGAAAAACCACAAGGTGGGAAACTGCTATCCCTCTGGGATAGAAATCCGTCGTTTGTGCAAATGATTGTCTTGGACAGGTGGCCGTCTGAGCAGGTTCGACTGTAATATGGAAGAAATGGTTAATGTGGTATAGATAGGGTTAACTACTTATACATATGGGACTCCCATCTTTAATTGGGTGATCCTTTTATGTACTGGACTACCTCGGACCAGTGACCACATCTTATTCTTTTCGTTCAAAACCGGTGGGGTTTAGATGAATCTTTTTCTTGCACGGTTCCATGTGGGAGGGTGAGGTTATTTTGTCCCTGTGTCCGGGATGATTTGTTTCATTGTATGTTATACAGTTTATTCTTCTTTGGGTTATCCACTTGTTTTGTTACTGTTTCTGTTTTTGTTTTTGTTTTTTTCTTTTTTGATGGATCCCCAGGCCTACCACTGTTGATTTGTACAGTGCTTTCACAGACACCCATTACTTCAAACAGAGCGGGAGCAGGAGGGGAAAGGGGAGGACATATAAGTCACAGAAGTCTTGGATGTGACTCCTTACACTGACGCCAACACTTCAAATGTACATTAAAAGACACAAACATGAGCACTGACACCCCCCCCCCTTTCCACACACACACGAGTGCACACTTGCAATACACACACACACACACACGCACACACACACAAACACACACCCACCCACACACACACACACACACACACACACACACATA